ATATATCAGCAGTCTCCCTGGTTGTAGGAAAGGCTTTTATGTATCCTGAAAAACTATAAACAAAGTGAGAAGACAAAATTTATCTGTCAGTCTTGATCAGGGTTGTCTGAGAAAGTGGTGAATAGGAAAGGAAGAGGGGGAGTGTTTAGCGATAACAGGTGAAAGCTGTTGAGGCCTCAGTGTCTGGGTCAGCCTGTATAAACACAAGGGAATAAAAAGCATTTTTAAGATTTAGAACTGTAGAGTGAGTGGTGGAGGGAAGATATGGCACCACTGGGTGGATTGGGAAGAAGCAGTCTGGAACCTGCGCGAAATAGGCCCTGTTTGTAAATGGGATAGGTTGACCCTCAATACCCCCTAGAGCTTGAGGACTTATTATAGTGGCCTGAAAACTCAGGAAGAACTCTGTATATATGGCCTCTATGTCCACAAATATAGAGAATGTCTTATCTGAGACTTTTAGTGGGAGTTGGACTCTGAGACAGACACCCATAAAGGGGGCTGTTGTTGGCCCTGAGCCCTGTCAGTCTTCAGCAGCAAGTTTAAGCAGATCTGTCGGCGATGAATCTGGCAGTGTTGGCATTTTGTGAGGGCTAGAAGTTAGGATGGCTTACCCACTCTCTGGTGGCTAGGACAGTCCAGTAGCCTTGGGGTAAGGTCTCAAAGGATCGCCAAGATGGGGCACTCTCTTGCCCAATGTCTTCTGCTGCATTTGAGGCATGGTCCATGGGGGTGGCCCAGGCAGCTTCACCTTGTGTCGGTTTACCTGTCTCAGAACTCCAAGTGTCACTGTTATTGTTATCTCTGTTGTTGAAAACACGAAAAGTTGTATTAAGAAGGTCTCTATGGAAGTTTGAAGGTCAAGTTTTTTCTTTTTGTTGTGGGATCTACAGTAGAAGGTATCTGTAGAATTAAGTAAGTATGCAGGAGTCAAATATAATCAACAGGGTATTTATGACAGGTCCAGAGAATTTTAGGAACTGACATGTCATTTATGCCATATATAAGTATTTCTTTATGTTATTAAAATGTCTAATGCCATCTGATTTTTGGAGGACAGCCTGTTTAATTTTACCTTTTTATTTAGGAGAGAAATCAGCTATGGTGTTATTTAATATCAGTTGAATATAGTTAATTATGGCTTGGCAGGCAGACAGGCTGGGAAAGGTTTAAGTTTGGCTTCTGCCACAGTGTTGGTTTTGTTGTTTTGCATGTATCATATAACCCTTGTCTTGGAAAAGAGCTAATGGTTCCCAGCAAAAGGAATTTATAATTATTTTTTAATTTTAGTTGTTAAACAGGAGTTCGGTGACAATACAGTATAATATAGGCAGTAAGCTTAACATAGAACAATACTGGTGGTTTATAGCAAACGGAATTTATAATTACCTCTTAATTTTGGTTGTTAAACATTTAGGAGATTGCTGAAGGCTTTAATTGATAAACAAGGCTGGTAAAATTATCAGGTGGCCACTTCCCCATTTATCAGCCAAAGTCTTGTCTATTGTCAGCTTATTTAACCTTGATTAAATGGTTTGAGAATGTAAAAAATAGCATCTCTGAGCTGAGCTGCCAAGCTGCTGTTTATGTGTGTTTGTGGTCCGGCGCTTGAGCTTGGGCCGGGGACTGGTCTAGCACACAGGCAGAGCACGCCTAGCGAGGGGGCAGTGCAAGTAGTGGGGGCTGGGGCTGGAACTGCCCTGGAAATGCACAGGGTGGGGGTGGGAGTGGCAGTGGGCACGTGGTGCAGGGTGGGGGAGAGCTGGGAGGCAGAGTTGGGACACAGCATGAAACTGGACCTTACACACTGAGACCCTGAACGGGGCTGATCGTACAGGCACGGTGGGTAGCCGGACCGACACAGAGCTGAGCCGCCACGTGGAGCCGAAACTGCTTAAGAATGCGGGGAGAGACCCCCAGAGCCCCTGGGGTGCGGCATCTCCCCCCGCAGTCAGCGAGCTCTCTGTGGGACATGTGGAGTGGGGGTATATAAGTAGCCTAGGTTTGGGGTGGAACCTAAGGGGCATTAGTGATGCACAGGTAACCCATTGGCACTCCTTTGGCACCAGAGGTAAATTCCTAGGGGTGGGGAAGATGGAGCTCCTTGGTTCCGCCCGAGGCTTTACCAGCTATAGTGTCGTGTCTGGGCCAAAACTCTTTTACTTATTCAGTGCATCTCAGTCCTTTCCTCATCACAAACAAGAAAAGGAATCAAATGTCCCACGAAGTCCAGAGACCACACTAAAATTTTTTTCTGGTTGATATTTTTTAACTTTGTATTTCGTTTGTACATATTTGTCACACACAGAGATTACACTCCTTATCGGGAGTTTGTGCCTGTACATATCTTCATTCTCTTTTCTCCCATTCCCTCCCCTCGCCTTCTTCCCTGCCATTGTACAATCTTACGTCTGTCTTACGTCTCCCATTCTCTCCCTCCCCGCTTTCCCTGTCTTCCCTTCCCCTCCTCCTCTTGCTCCCTTTCCCGTCTGAACATTTTCTTCCTGATTCCTAGTGTCTGGCCTCCACTATGCTCCACGTTACCCTTTGGGTTTCTCACACGAGAGACTGCAATATTTAAACTCAGGTGTCCGATTTATTTCACTTAAGACTGGTCTTGAGGTGCATCTGTTTTCCTCATATTTGTTTTCTTTATGGCAGTGTAGTACTCCATGGTATCACAATACTACATTTTCTTTGTCCTTTCATCTTCGGATAGGTGTGGGGGCTGTTTCCAGATTTAGCCATGATAATTTGTGCTTCGGTAAACATGGGTGTACCATGCATGTACCACTGTGGCCTGATGCCTTTAACTCTCTGAGGAAGATGTCTAGAAGGGGAACGGCCTGGTCCAATGGAAACTCTAGTTTTAGATTGTTGTGGAATCTCCATACTGACTTCCATAGTGGTTGCACCAGTCTACACTCCCACCAACAGTGGAGAAGGGTTCCTTTTCTCCCACAGCCCCACCAGCACTATGGGTTGATCTCTTGATGACAGCCATTCTTTCTAGGGTGAGATGGAATTTCAGTGTCCTTTTACTTTGCCTTTCTTGAATAATAGTGATGTTGAGCATTTTTTCACGTATTTGCCATTTCTACTTCTTCATCTGAGAAATGTATGTTCATTTCAGATGGCCATTTCTGGATTGGGTCTTTAAATTTGGGAGATATGATTTTTTTGAGTTCTTTATTCTAGATCTTAAGCCTTTGTCTGAGAAATAGCTTGGTAAACCTTTTTTTTCCATTCTGTGGGTTGTCTCTTCACACTGTTGGTGGTTTCTTTTGCTATGCAAAAAGCTTTTAACTCAATGTGATCCCAGTTGTTGATTTTTTGTATGTTTCCTCATGTGGAGGGTACATTTCCCAGCTCACTTCACAAGGCCCAGCATGGTCCTGATACCAAAGCCCAACAAGGACAACACAAAAAAGACCAGTTTTTCTTAGGAAGTTCTCAATAAAATACAAGTAAGTCATATCCGTAAATACGTTCCACAAATGCAAGGTGGGCTCAATGCTTGAAAATCAACCAGTTGATAAGAGAAGAGGCCTGTACCAAGGCCAACAGCCATTCATACCCATAACTCTCAGTAAATTAGCAACAGAAGGGAACTGTCTCAGCCTGATAAAGAGGAATTGCAAAATAACTAAAGCGAACAACACATTTGATGGCAAAAGCCTTACAGTCTTTCCTTTAAGATCAAGAGTAAGACAAGGCAACCTTCTCACTACTACTCATGAAGTATAACACACTGGTTAAAAAAAGACAAGACCTGTGTAAGTGGAGACATATCACGCTCATAAGTTAGAAGAGTCTCTACAGCTCGAGAGTCCTAAGGATTTGGAGTAAGGTATGCTTTTACCTCATGTAATATCCTCCATTTGAAAAGTTGTTTCTGTAGCTGGATGTGGTAGTGCATGCTTGTAATCTTCATACTTGGGAGGCTGACGCAGGAGGATCGCTCTGAGTTCAAGGCCAGACTGCCTAAAAAGTGAGTTGAAATCCAGCCTGAACTGCATAGCGAGACCCTGTCTCAACAAGCCTCCCACTCAAAAAAAGAAAAGTAGTTTCAGGTTTGTTATCAATAACTGATAGAGATTTAACTCCTTAACATGATTGCCAGTGATTATGGAACCAAAATATTCATCATGAATTTTTGTCATTGCTCACTGAATCAAAATATTGGGTGTGCACAAAGCTATGCTTTTTGTTATACAGAATGGTAAATAGTAGACCAGAAAAAAATAAGATCCAAGTACAACTGTCTAAACATGTGGCTCACTCGCAGTGTGTATATTCCTACTGCTAATACATGACCTGCAGCACACCTGACAGCCTCATGGGGAGTTCACTAAAATCACTTAACGCAGGGGACAGAAATCCAGATTCCCAGGGCCTTTATGCCAAGCTACCTCCTCAGCTTTTATTTTGAGTCAGGGTCTCATTAAGTCACCATGTTGCCCAAACTGGGCTCAGCCTCCTGGTTCAGCCTCCCAGAGTACAGGGGTTCCATGTGTGCACCACTGCACCTTTCTGCATCTTGCTTTTATAGATACATCTGCAAGGTACAGTGCATCATCCAGGAGTGACTAGGGCATTACAGTTCACTCGGTGGAGGCCATGGAATTGCTGTGGTAAATACAAATTCCGCTCAAGGTAAGAGTTCTGGGAGATGTATGCGGTGATCTACTTTATGTGCATACAGATGTGTCCTGAGCTTAGCCTCATAGTATTTCATGACAGATGGCTCAATTAGTTGACAGGTAAGTCAGGACAAAGAAAGAATATATAAGTAGAAAATTAGGGGCTCTGGAGGAGAATTACACAGATGGACTTCTAAGAATGGCACATAGAGGGATGTAAATGCCAAAGGACAGGATATTAGAGCATGGAACACAAGTTTGGGTATTTACTCCATTATTCAAATTGAGGCCTCCGATAAGTTTTCATAAATGTTAAATGAATGTATGTGTAAATCATTTCCTCTGTTAGAACATGAATAGTAATTCCTTAAGCATTTATTGTTTTAAAGAAAAAGCAAAGGGTAGAGTATAGTGTTTAACCTTAAGCACCTCTTCAGTCATCAGAAATGCATGCTATTTGGTGTTGAAATGCATGGGCCAAAACAGCATGGAATGTTTTTTCTGCAGACTGTTGGCTCTGTTATGGTTTGAGAACTGGTAGTCAACTTAACACCAGCTGGATTACATCAGCATGCATTGAGAGAAGATGCTCCACCTGAGGAGGGTTGCCAGGATAAATAGGTGGAGAAGAAGGTGGAGAAGATGTTGAGGGGGTTGAGGCGTTAAGGGGGCATTGTGGGTTCTCCTATGAGTTGCTGTCTGAGCTGTTGGTTCTCCTGGAGAAGCTTTGGTCCTCACATCGAGCATTGCTTCCTGGCTCCAGAGGGAAAGACATGCTGCTTGGTCTCCAGGATGAACTTGTCACGCTGCTTCCTGACACGTACACGACTGTGCTTGTCATCGGAGGAGCTCGGGGCCTCTGTGTTGCTGAGGACAGCCGTGGTGCCTTTCAGGCTAGCCCTGCTCTTTGTTGTGAGTGTGACTTCTCGGCTCCAGCGTAGAACCCTCATCCCACTAGCACAGCTCCTTCACCCTGCTGGCATAGACTTTCTGGCTTCCACCGCTGACTCTTGGGTCTTCCCAGCACGGATCTGTAAAAAAGACTGGCATGAGTCCTTCTTGTGGGCTCTGGACTTCCAGTTGGACTCGTGGAGGCATTGTCCTAAGCTCTGGGTTTTTATCTGGACTCATGTGGGACACTGCCGTGGGGTTTAGGCTCTTGACCAAATAATCTATGTCTTTGCGGACAGATTTCCTGCATTCTCCTGTGTTAACTTCCTGTGACCATTATAAAAATATTATAAACTCCATGTCCTATCCTAGTTGTTCTCTGTGTACAACCCCTGACCACAACAGCATCTGTACACATTTTAACTGGGTGACCCTATGTTGTAGGCACTTGTGTTGAATAATCCACCAAATGTATGAAGAATGATATGTGCTACGTAATACACTGGTAAAAACTGAAAAACTAAATATCCATCACCACAGATTGATTAAATAAATGATTTACCTTATAATTAAGGAGAATAACAACTTAGTTCGGCACTGCCCTGAACATGTAACTGGATCAGGAGGCAATTTTAAACGTCAAAATGAATTGTAAATAAGTAATAAACATGTTTTCAAAAGGCACCATTTGCTCTATCACAAAGTCTAGAATTCATCATTAAACATCTTCTAAATTTGGAAAATGGGTCAGAGAAAGCTTCTAGTATACACAATGCCATATTTTAATGAGTAAATTTTTAAAAGAAACTGCATAATGATATATATTATGAATTTATAAACTATATGTAAAATATATACTATGTAAATTATATAAATTAAAATACAGTTGTGTGCGGTGCCAAGAAATACATGCAGGGCCTTACGCATTTTAGAACTACACCTCCAGACTCAAAATATGATTGAACAATAAACCGGAAAAACTCAGGCTTTTAAAAAATATCAAGACCTACTTTACAGCGTTGTTCAATGAATATAAGAAGCACAAAATATCAAACTGGCAAGCTCATCACAACGGACAAACGTTGGGATGTCTGCTTTACTGTTACATTTAGTTTTTTCATTACCCATTTGAAAGATCTGAACATAAAAAGCTGCATTTAATGAAAAAGAGCATCTGATCGTTAGGAAGCGAAGGAAATTGTGAACGGAAAAACCCTGTTCTGCCTTGCGGGAGAAAGCGCGCGGGGCGCGAGCCTCTCGGAAACGTGGCGATTTCGCTGTTTTGGAGGAAAACGCGTGGACGACAGCGGGACCCCACCTCCCTCTGCCGGCCCGGTACGGCCCGCGGCCGCGGAGCGCGGGGAAGCCCTGAAACCCAGCCGCGGGGGCGGTGCAGACCCGCGATCTACAGCGAGATCCCGAACGCGCACCGGACACGCCGGGGAGGGAGACGGGCTTTCCGCACGCGGCTCCCGGCGGGCCCGCACCTGCGGGGCTGCGTGCTCCTTGGGGACCCGCAGCTGCCTACATTATGGCCAGCTGAGTCGCAGGGCCAGGGGTCAGAGGTCAAGGTCCTGCTTCCGGTGCGTCAGCAGGCCGGCTCGGCTGGATCTGCCATGACCGCGTGCCGGGCGTTCCAAATGGAAACGCTGCGGAGGATGCTTTACCCGAGTGCACCTAGTCAGCGCCCCTCCTCTGGGAGTAAATGGGATCAAAGGCTTTAGAAGAAATTACAGGCGGTGGCACACGCCTGTCCTCCCAGCACTCTGGAGGCTGAGGCAGGAATGTCCTTGAGAGATTGCGGCCAGCCTGGACTACATAAAGAAAAATGACAGAAGTCTGTAATGTTGGTCAGAGGCATGCTTCATAGCCTGAGTTAGGATAAAGATGCATGCGCCTGGCCAATCATGTTATGTCTCCATGTCCCTAACTTGATGGGAAATAAAGGAAATGGTCCTCCTGTAACGATTAAACTGTGAAAGATCTGGGGGATTCGCAATATGCTTGGTAAGGTTTTTTTTTTTTTTTTGCTTGTATTTTTGTATCTTACATATTTTTGAAAAGGATCATTGGGCGAGACAGTTTTCACCTTTTCTAGAAATAAACCTTTGATCACAAATCCTGTTTTTTTATAGTACTGTTGTGTTCTCTATTCAAGTATTTTATTTACATTTCATAACTTTTTACCAAAAAATATTTACAGTTTTTTTTCTGGTTAGCTTTGAGTTTAAGAGGCACACTGAATGAGGGAATATTTTTATTTCTTTTTTCTTCTTTGGCATTGTAAAATTTTCAAGCACATAAAAAAAGTATAAAATGGTAAAATGAACATCCCTGCAAGACAAGTCCTTGGGTTTAAGAAAACAACTTTTCATGATGTCTGTTACTTTTTTTTTTAATTGCTGAGACAAAATATCTGACACCCAAAATGAAAGAAGGAAAGGGTTTTGTTACAGGCAGCTGAGCTAGTTAGAAATATTCTAGGCAGTTAGACAGGGCTGGACCCTCAAAGAAGCCAGCACAGAGGACCAGATGTCAGATGACCTTGGAGGAGACACATATCTCTTGCTCTGGGCCAGATCTCCTGACAGAAGGCAAAACAAATGGAACCACACCCTTGAGTATAATCCTTAGAGATTAGGTATGGGTCACCTAGAGAAGCCAGGAGTCACCATCTCTCCCTCTATAGGAAGAGTCACTGATCCATAAAGAACGCTCACCTGCTATATAGCTCGCTTCCCCATTTGTTCCCAATTTAATCAATTTTACCTGAGCTGTTACTCTTATTGGCTAAACATAGCGAGTCCAGTTTTCCCCAGCTTTAGACCCACCTCACCTCATGGTTTTGCTGTATAAAAATGTCTACAAAAGACAGAGTCCCTGGCAACCCACTTAGGACCCCTTCTGTCTCTCTTTCAGACAGAAACTTTCTCTCAATAAATATTTCTGCTCTTAACCTCCGTTGTTCCTAAAATTTGTCCTTCGATTTTAGAGAACACGAACTTGTACTGGACATAGCAGGTCGGGAGTTTCATTCCCCTACATCAGTTTCATGGTGACCTCGTGGCCTAGTGTGGAGGCTTAAACGTGTCATCACCTGTACAGCACTCAGCCGAGTGCAGGTCACTAAGCCCCAAGGGAAACACACATACTGTTATGTTTAGAAACACTCTGTTCTTTTCATCAAGTGACTCGCATCCCCGACACCACGCTGTGAGGTCAGCTTATCCATCTGTGCTAACAGGAACCACCACTGAGGCTCAGGTTGGTGCACCCGTTGTCCAGGTCACAAGCCAGTGTGAGCCGCCATGATTCAAGGTCAGGTGTGACTTGCCATCTGCTCAGGTGCTGTCTAGTGTCACACAGGGTGAAATGAGCATTATAACCTTCACAGTCCTGACCTGAGGGACCAGTCTCCACACACACGGAAATGTAATGCGGTCTTCTTCTTCTTCTTCTTCTTCTTCTTCTTCTTCTTCTTCTTCTTCTTCTTCTTCTTCTTCTCCTTCTCCTTCTCCTTCTCCTCCTTCTCCTTTTTCTTCTCTTCCTTCTCCTCCTCCTCCTTCTTCTTCCTCTTCTTTTTTTTTGAGACGAGATCTCATAGTGCAGGCTGGCCTTGTGCTCTCTTATGTAGCCCAGGCTGGCCTTGAACCCCCAGTAATCCTCCTGTCTAGCCCCTCAAGTGCTGAGATTACAGGTGTGTACCACCAGATCAGGATATCCTTTAGAATGACTCTTAATTTCAAACAAACAAACAAAAGCCCCCCAAAATAATAGGGGTTGGATACGGAGAAATGAAAACCTTCTTGCACTGTTGGTGAGAATATCTAGTGGTAGAGCTGCTGTTGAAAACAAATATGTGGCTGTTCCTTGCAATTTTTTTTTTTGTATCAGGAATCTAACTCGTGACCATGTGCTTGCAAGGCAGGCAAGCTGAACTAGATCCCCAGCTCTATTCCTTGCTATTTTTTAATTTTTATTTTTGCTATATTTTATAATTTAATAATTATTAGTCTTTCTGATGATTTTTTTCCTGAAGACATAGCAACTTTATGTCTTTACATTGTATAAGACTCCATGTGTTCACCCCAAAGTACCCTTGAATCTGAACCATGTAGATGCTTTGTTTATCTTTCGTTTGGTTGAACTTTACATTAGGATGGGCTATGTGAAAACATCTGGTATAATCTCCTCAGGTTCCACAGTTTACTGGAGAGCCCCGACCTTCACCCTGACATTCCATGAATGTATTTACTTCACACATTTTGGTAGTTTTATTGATGTCTTCTCAGAACTGAGATCCACGTGCGTACTAGTGAACACCTCCCAGGCTCTGCGAGGCCGAGGCAGGAGGATGGCAGGTATAACCTGTGTGTGCCCAACGTGTCACTCAGCCTGACAACTTAGTAATGAAATGAAACTCTGCTTCAAAATAAAAAGTAAAGAAGACCAGTGTGCAGGAGCTGGATTCAGTTTCCAGTATGAGGGGGGAGAAGAAGGGACTTCCCCCACTCGGGACTCAGAAGTCTTATGTGTGGCCCTCACGTGTACATAATAATCTTACCGAAAACTTGTGAAGTCACGCATGTGGCCAAACTTGGCAAACAGTGGAGTTTCTTGGAGGCCCCAAGGATGTTTTTGGATTGGAATTTTATCTCTTGTTCATCTCCTTCATGATCTTACATACGATACTGCAATTCTGGAGCAGCTGCCCTGGAATGCGCATTGTTCCATGACCAGGTGCTGAAGATCCTAAGTGTTCCAAGGTTAAGGTAGAAAAGAGCAGCTGTTAATACTCTGCCAGATAAAAGCCAAAGGTGGACAGCTTGCCTGGGGAGTCACTGGACCCTGTGGTCACTCTTGCTCTTCATGACCCACAGCCAGGGGACGGACCTGAGGGAGTGGCCGCTGCACATGGGGCACACGCACATCAGGGTCTGGCTTCGTGCATGGGGAGCTGCGGTCCATGCTGCCTGCCCACTGGCGATGGGGTGGTGGGATGGGGTGAAGGACAAAGCCCTGTGGAAGGCTGTGGTGGCTCAAATTAGCATGGTGGTGGACGAGGACTTGGAGAGCGCAGTCAGGAGATGGAATCTGGGGAAGCGCAAGGTGGAGTGGGTGAGGATGGAGGAAGGCACGGGCTTCCGGGTGTGTAGGATGAGCTTGGGGTGAATGGGGACCACTCACTGACCTGGGGTGCTGGACAGAAAGGACTGATGTCCTCAAGGGTGGCCTTGATTCTAGTTTCCTGTGCTCTTTGGGAAATTGACAGTGTTCTTGGAGGCAAAATTTGAGAGATCACGGAGCACGAGTGTTTGAGAGGACAGCAGGGAGAAGTGTGCCCATCGTGTCATTGTTAGCCTGAGGCTGTGCCCCTGCACCTGAATACTGGCTGCAGAACAGCAATAACATAACCCTGAACCCCCTCCGCCAAGCACATGGTCTGCGCTCCTGTTCATCGTGCTGTGTCTTGGAAGAGGAAAGCCCCTGCGCCTGTTTCTGCACGTCCACCCCCAATCATGTGATTGGCGTTCCGTGCTTGGTGAGATGATCTCAGGCCCTGCCCTGTACTTGAAGGAGCAGCATCTGTATGGTAACAGCATCTCAGCTGTTTCCAGGAGCGCAGATTTTCAGAGCATTGTAGATCTTCATGATCTTATACACGATCCCACCCGTCATTCAGTCTTAAACTCAGGGCTGCCTTTTTTCAGGGAGCTCTGCCTGACCATCCAACCTACCACGGCAGGCTGCAGGGACAGTGCACCAGCTCTTGGTGTACCTGCGCGTGGTGAGGGTTCTGAGGACGTCAGTCTTTCTCTCCCACTGACTGTCTCTGGGAGCAATACTTGTTCTTTCTCTTTATATCACCAGCAGGTGGCATGGGATTGGCTCACCACAGACTGCAAATGCCCCCTACTTGACAGTCTTCAGCCTGCCCTCCAGCCCTGCCTTCACCTGCTGCTGGAATCCCTGCAGTGTGAACTCTGAGGAAATCAGGCTTCCTGCTCTCTACAGCCTTCGTGTATAGCAGGAGCCAACAGAAGTGCAAGGTGCATGTGATTCACTGCCCGCTCTGCTCTCCAGGGGAGCAGCCGCCACTGGGTGTAAAGCGTTTGCACCTTGCTGTCATTTTCCAGTTTTCCTACAGAGATTTTCCTAAGGGTGATAGCTAAAGCATTGCCAGCCGCACAGAGGGCTGTTGGACTACGTCTCAGAACTGCTCCTCATTGCTTTCCATTCCTCCTCAACCTCCCAAGCAGCCTGACTCTCCTCCCTTCTCCAGCTCCTTGATGACCACCAGAGCCAGCTTCTCAGCGCACTCCTGTGCTTCCCTCGTGTTCCTCAGCTTCCTTTTGCTGGAACAAATTCCTGAGAAATGAGCATCGAAGAGGAAAGCTTTGTCTTGGCTCAGTCCTGGTGAAAGGTTTCAGACTAGGGTCACTTGGCCCTGTTGGGTTTGGGTCTGTGGCAAGACAGCGTGCCAGGCCTGGGAGTGTGTGCAGCACAGGAGGGAGACGGAAGAGACTGGAGTCCCATCATGCACTTGGAGCCCCCCCCCACCCCGTGACTTCAAATCATCTATGAGGTCCTTATGATTCCCACTGCCTCCCTTAGTCTCCCAGAG